CTGGTGGAACCGATCTTCGAATCTCTTCACTAACACCTTCACTCGAAATGGAAGTAAGCTCAAAAATTATCAAACGAGAGATTCCTCGAAACCCAACTTTTCTTCGCGTATATTAAAGTCCAACCTGGATAAGAACGGCGTTTTCGAATTGATGCAGAAATGAATTTCTATGCCAACTCGGCCATGTATGCAAAAAGCGGTTGATTTATACTTGTTACTCTCATTTCTTTTACGAGTAACAATGTGTGATGAATGTATTTGTAGTTCGATTAAACCACTTGGCTTTACTCAAACCCCAAGGTCGAGACAGCCTCTTTTGGTTCCATCAAAACTGGATTTTGTTATTATAACATACATAGTACTTGTGAGGTACAGAATGATGGAGTTGACCAATCGAGGAAAATTATACGGGAGGATGGGAAACCAGCAGCGATAGCTCTGCCCTCGGTAGTCAAAAACTTATTATATATAAGATGTGCTCACCCTATTTCGTTTAAGGTGAATTTTCCCACATTTATATGAGTAGACCTTATGTTTCCAGTGAATTTCACATATCCTTGCTCCGCAAAAGGTTAGTAGCTCTTACATAAATGATTTGCTGGTAGCCTCGAAACTCTACTTACAGACGACAAAATGTAATGAGCCTGTTTTAAATTCACCACTTCGATGGCCCAATTACTTGGATGAGCTCTTCGGGTGAACTCATTCGTATAGAAAGTGTGATATTATTTGTAACTATAGCCCCAAAAGGCCGGTTGAGTAGCATCCTTTTTAGTAAATCATAACGACAGCTGGCCTATGAGTCTCTTTATTATCAACTTTTACTTGAAATGGAAGTGAGCTCAACAGCCTAGCAACTAGCAGCTTCCGGATAACTTCCACTAAACGATTTGTATGAGTTTCTATCTTGGGATTTTGCGTGAGGTGTGTAGAGGACGGGGCTGTTGAACACCACCCGTTGAAGTGAGTTGGTCATTGCTTTGAGAAGTCGAAACACACTTGACGGAGCCAATCGTCTCGAGACGCTGTGACGTCGTCAAGTGGCGAAATCCGGGTCGAATGTACCCGAGCTTGAGCTCGGCCATGAGTCTCGTCATAATTGTCCACTCGACCCACCTTCACACCAACAAAATCCACTAGACTCGATTCACTGTCTTTTTTGTGTCGTCTGCCTTAGCCGGTGTCCGAGACCCGGATTTGGCTGTGGCTTGACGAGACCTGCGAACCAGTCTCACCTCTGTCCCACTCTCCCCCTGTCGACCGGTCGGTGCGTCAGTTTTGTCGTCTCGTGCATTCATGTTAGCTGCATCATACAGGGCCAGACGGGGGCGGGGAAGCTGGAGACATATCTCCCAAGTGAAAGGAGGCGGGAGGCAAGCAAGTGGGAAGTAGAAGTGAGCAGCATAAAAGCCCTCTTGGTCAGTCATTGCAGTCAGCGAGGAACAATACAGACTCAATCTTATCAGTCGTCATCATCTCGGCTGGAATAGGGGAGTTCCGACTGCTCAGGCGTCCGGGGGCTTCCATAAGCCATGCTTAAACGCCTGCTCCACCTCCCCGCCTCCGACTTGACAACAGGACATGTCGCACGGGGTGGGGTGGGGACAGCGGCAGTCAAACATGGGGGCAAGTGGTAACGAAGAGGAAGGTTCCGTGGGGAGGGAGTGAAAACCACACGGTCACACGAGAGTGACCGTGGCGAGGCGACAAAGCAAGATGCCAATTTACAATAATAATATTAATACTAGTACTAGTACTGGTACTACTAATAAAAATAACTGGCGAAATACTAATACTGCTAATAATGGGAAGTCTATGTTATTTCAGTCCAGCCCTGGATGGTATGAATGCTGTTAGTTATTTGAAGGCCGCGGGTCACGAGATGAGGGCCCATTGACATTTAAGAGGTCCCGACGTGCTGAAACCCGGCAGAAGATGGGCTATTCACCTGCATCGATATGCGCACACAGGTTCAGAGACATACATATACATATATGCACACATAGGCACAAACACAGTCTGCGCACGCATTCTTCACATTCACTAATCATACAATGTATGAATTGGGGGAAATGGACGGGGCTGAGGGTCGCGGCCAAGTGCACATGTCCGGGATGTAAATACGAGTGTCCTGGCCAGTGGGATCGCGATATCTTCACACTAGCCAGCAGCGGCTAGCCAACGTATGAGTGACAGGTGTTGTGGGAGAGATTTTTATCAATCCCATCTCATCACTCATCAAGCACTCAACCTTTCGAAGGCTACTACTACTCACACATCTTTTTGCCGTTTTGTGTGTCTCCAGTCGGCCTTGTTAACACGCCTGAAGGCGTATGTGCACGACGTGTGTGTACGCCGTGTGGTAGACGGCTTGTGTATGTGTGGTGGGCTGGGTGGGGTGGATGAAGGCGGGTGTGGGTGTGCGCGAGCAGACCCAAGAAGAGCCGAATAGTGAAGGGATGCATCAGCAAAAATCACACAAAGAATTCATCCAAGGCATCGCGTTCAGCCTGCCCATTTATGAACACAAGTTAACCTCTCTCGCTCTCGCTCTTTCTCTTGCCTGGCGGTATTTCAGCATACGCCACACCAAAACACACCACATTATACCACACCACACCACACCACACCATGCTACATCGCACACCCACACTTGGGGTGACCCGGCTAACTTGTTCGAGAGTGGAGACAGAAGGCCGTCTGCCTTGACGGTGAGCTCACTGGCACGACTAGCCGGCCGCCAACCGGTTAATACGTCAAGACTGACGAATTGTGGCATGACCAGTTATCTCATGTAGGGAAAATGAGGCCCACCATTTGGCACACCTAACCCAAATTTTTTATATCTATGCCCAAGGGGTGGGACCAACAACACGGGGAATGGCGAGGAAGAGACAGGGAGATAAGAGAGGGTGTAGAGGAGGGAGCAGAGTCTTCGGGGCGGACAAGAGGAGATTATGAATGCGTATGGGACATGCAAAGTGTGATTGTGGAAGCCAAGTGGAGAGAGGAGGCGACAGATGAAAAGTAAGCAGAAGCGTTGGATTGGCGCCCCGATACCGTGACGTCTAATGCGAAATTCGCCTGACCACAAAAGGCTGTCCTCAAAGCATACAGATCCTGTAGCCATATGAGATCGTTAACAAAGCTTGCCACTCATGACTAACGTCCTCAGAAATAGTTTTGGAGCAAGGCAACTGGTGATCTGAGCCCATTTACCAAATTACATACTGCTGATAGTGCTGATGATGACGATGGCCATGTGGGTAGCAACCCGGATTAGGCATATCGATAAACCTCCATCTTTTCACTCATAACTTCGTTGGATTTAGGCATTCTAGCCTCAAATCCGTTCATTTGAATGAGCTAGCCAGTCTGATGTGATTGCGGTTACGACAAATGTTGACCATTTTTCATCTATAAGTAGGTTTTTAAGATTACTGGTAGATCGTATATATGCGATTTATTAACCCTATTTTGTTTAAGGTGATCAAGAACTGGTGGTTGGATTTTGCCAGAATGATATGAGTAGATCCTACAATTCCATTGAATTTTGTATATCCTTGCTCCCCAAAAGGTATTCTCCTCTAGGCAGGAGTCGAATGGAGTTTCAACCTCGCCTGATCTAGTCTCATTAACACCCTCAGAGGGACTCGAACCGGTGTTGTGGTAGTGCATAGTATAATCTCGACACATGATCATTACGTCACACTGCCACGAGTGCACTTGGGTCACAGGGCAGATGAGAATTTCAAGGATAGCCAGAAGGTTTCCCATATCATGCTGCACTATCACGGTTTGGATGTTCATGAGACCCAGACATAGTTGAAACTGCAGTTCAAACTTAATGTGAATACCTTTTAGGAAGGAAGGCTACATTAAATTCAATGGATTGGGGAAAAATTCAACTATCAATCCTTCATCATCTTCACAAAATAGGGT